ACACACACACACACACACACACACACCCTAGAACCTTCGCGGGAGAACCAGTCCGGCCTGGAGCCAGTCCATGATAATCAAACCTCCACACTCATACCCGGTTGCTGCCTTCCCAAGGCTGTTCCCATAGGTGGAAGGGCCTTACTCCTGTTTGGCGAAAGGAATCAATGGTCCTTGAGGTCTCCCTAGATCTCCTTCTCTATTTTCTTTTTGGTTTTTTCTTTTTTCTTTCTTTTCCTGCATACTTTCATCTGCCTGTCTGCCTTGGTCATTAATCCTCCCCAGATGGGCCTATAAATCTACCTAACACACAAACCCCACGCGTTTTTACCCCTTCACATTCATATGAGATTGTGCTATCTCTTTAATTGACAGTCATAATAGTTGTTGATTTCTCAGCCTATCCCAAACACGGCGCCTAGTGCTTTATAGACAGTAGTTCCAATAGTTACCATCACGCCCATTTTTCTAAGCAGTAGACTGAGGCACAGAAATGTTAGGTGACTTGCCCAGGGACATACAGCTAAGTGCAGAGTGAGGACTCAAGCAGAGAGACTCCAGAGCCAGTTCTCTTATCCCCTCCACTGCCCTCAGTTCTGTAGACTGAGGGCCAGGGCTTACTGTTGGCTTGGAGGGAGGTCCAGCACTGCTGACCTGTTTCTGGAATGCCAGATAGCAGACGAATGAAACGCAGGTGTCTCTGACCTCCCTGGAGAAGGCAGTTTATTATTCCCAACTGAATGCTCCCCGGGGGCTCATTCCAAATCCTCTCACTGTTGTTAATATCCTAACCTCAGGATCTCTTGATTGCCCACCTCTCCCTACTCTTTAAAAGGTGAGAAGGGGCTGGGCACAGTGGCTCACACCTGTAATTCCACCACTTTGGGAGGCCGAGATGGGAGGATCACTTGAGGTCAAGAGTTCGAGACCAGACTGTCTGACATGGTGAAACCCCATCTCTACTAAAAATACAAAAATTAGCCAGATGGTGTGGCGCATGCCTTGTAATCCCAGCTACTTGGGAGGTTGAGGTAGGAGAATTGCTTGAACCCGGGAGGCAGAGGTTGCAGTGAGCCAAAATCGCACCCTTGAACTACAGCCTGGGCGACATAGTGAGACTCTGTCTCAAAAACAAACAACAAAAAAAGGTGAGAAGCTCCACCCACCTAGTTTGCAGTTTCTACATTTAAAAATGTTATGTGTTTTTAAAGATATTAAAAGATTATTACCCAAATAGCAATACATAAGCTTCTATTGGATCCTGGTGTGTAATAATAATGATAATGATAAAACTATGAAGGACGTTTGCAAAACAAATTAGGGGAAGTGAATATGGATTAAGTAACAAGTATTGAAAGATATTACAGAAGTGTTCATTTCATTAGGTATAATAGTGGTATCATACTTTAGTCAAAGAGTGGTTTCAAGTGATGGAATCGCATGATGAGGTATTTGGGGTTGTAGTGTCTTTATGTCTGGAATGTACTTCAAAATAGTTTTGCTGAAAAAAAAAGCTGGCAAATTTTAAACAATGTTTGAATTTAAGTGTAGGTATGATCCTTTGCACATTTTTATTAGTTTAAAAATTTTTATAAGTAGAAATTTTTAAATTTTCTTTCTTTCTCTTTCTTTCCTTCCTTCCTGCTTTCATTCATTCTTTCTTTCCCTCCCTCC